ATTCTAATATGACATCTCATTGCTGTAGTTTTCTTGAATTTTTCTGATTCAATAAGGTTTGCTTCTGTTAAAGGTTCTTTCTTTTTCTGAATAATTTTAGCAAGGTTTCTTCGTTGATTAAGGTATTGTAATAGTTGTGCTAGGGTAGCTGAAGATTTCGTATTCAAGATATTAACAGAAATATCATAAGGTTTAATTTTATCAATTACAGATGGTTGAGTTTTATATTTAGTTCTTGGTCGATTTATTTTTGTAGTTGGTATTTCTTCAGGTATTTCATTAGGTACATCTTCCATAGTAGTATCTTCTTCTATTTGAATAGGAGTTATCTTTCTGTTACGTAGATTAAATTCTTTCTGAGATTCAGAATTTTTTGTAACGTGTTTAGCTTTCTTTCTATCAGTAGTATATGGAGTAGACCTTTGATTTTTGGTGATGTAAATTTCTTCCTCATAATCTTCACTATTATCTTCTACTTCTAAGAATTTATATTTCTATTTCTAATTGCATCTTTCTTTAATTGTTTGTATTGTTCAGTAGTAGTTTGACGTTCAGCCATACAATTTCTAGTTATATGGCCTGCTTCACTACAGTTATAACAAATGATTTTTGGTTGAGGTTAAATTCTATTTGGTTGGTTTCGTTGATAATTAATTGGTCTTGGTTTGGGTTTCTCATGAGGTTAAGTAAGAGCAGATGCAATAGTTGCATAGTTTAAGCTCATTTGTTTCATTTGTTGAGTTAATACCTCGATATCTTTTTCTAATTTGTGAGTATTATTGCTTGAGGATGAGATTGGTTCTATCTGTTGAGCAAAGTCTTTTCCTTGTTTATACCGTTAAACTAATTGTCAAGTATCATTTAGATTTCTAGGATTATGCAACATGATTATGAGTAATAGTTCAGGTTTTATACCTTTTTTAAAGTAATATAACTGTTGAGCAGCATCAGTGATATTACATCTTTTGATTAATTTATTGAATCTACTATAATATGATTCTATTGCTTCATCTATTCTTTGTTTAATAGCTTCTAATTTATGTAGCTATTTATTTTTCTATCAATGAGTATAGAAGTTAAGTTTAAAGTTATCTGTAATAGCAGTCCAGAGATTATTCCAATTTAGTGTTCTTGCTGTATTTTGAGTTGCATAGAAGGTTGCTTGCCATTCATCAGCAACTCCATGTAAGAAACCAGGAAGAATATCTCTTTTTCTTTTACTATCCCATCTATTAGTAGCAGTAGCTTTCTCAAAACATTCTATTCAAGTATATGGGTTCTGAGTACCATCACCAGTAAATAGCTCTACTTTAAGCAGAAGGGATCCACTAGTATTTGCTTTAAGGTAGTTCATGATATCATCAGTTGTTGTAGCCATTGTTAAGTTTATAAATAAAAGGTGATTATTTAAAGGTGATGGGTATAGAGTTGTCGATAAGGAAGTATTGAATAATAAATCAGGAGTAGCTATTTGATTATTATAAAATGGTAATTCTACTAGAGTGTTTAATTGGGTATAAGCATTTGGAATTTGTTGTATTCTTTCTATGAGTTGATCAAGAGGTTCAGTGTTATCTAGTTCTTCTTTAGATAAATGAAGTGGGTTTTTCTCAAAATAGTCAGTATATAATGATAATACTGCAATTCCTCTGATTATTTCATGAATATCACCAGGTGAGTTATTGTATCTAATACTATATATTATCTTGAAAATAAGATTTTTGTATTGAGATAATTCAAATTGTAAATAAATATTCCTAAAATTATTAAGTATTCTAATGTTTTGCCAGTAAAGTTTACTGCAGAGTATTGTTTATTATACCAAGTAATAAAATTATGAAAAAGACTAAATAATATAGGAGTTAAAATAGAGTAACAGATATCACAAGAATCATCTGGTTCAATAAGTAGATTCAAGGTATGTTGTTTTTGATATCTAATTATATTTGTTAAATGCTTTGTAAAATCAAAAATCATTCAAAATTAAAACTTAAATATACTAAATCAGAAAAATAAATTATAAAGGAAGGTTCCTTACACTTATACTTTAGCTCGTGGAGAACAATTAAAAGAATAAGAGAGAAAGACTTTTACAAGTCAATAGTAGCTTCAACTTGTTTGAGTTAAGCAAAATAAAGGTCAGCTTATGAGTATATTTCACTATACAGACTCTTTCCAAATGTAGCATCAAGTATAAGTTGCATATACATCAATTTCTGTTTATAGGTACTTCTGTATGTTAGTAAGGTCCAAGATATATTTCACAACATGAGTTGCTTCTAGTCATAGATTTTGTAATACTGTAGTATTACTACTATATAATTAGTATTCTAAAAACTAGTATACCTTTATTTTTTGTGTTTCTACTACTAGCTCGGTATATCATACAATTTTAGATTTTTATAAGCATATCCTGAATTTTGATCTATTCTCTGCATTGTAGTATTTACTCAATTAGAAAACTTACAGTTATTCTTGTCAATATTAATATGAATTCAATTCCTTCCATAGCTCTCTACTGGTTTTAGTCTTTTAAGGTTTCCAAGATATTTTATGAAGCAGATTCTTCTAAATCTAGTTAGCCACCAAGCTAGGTTGTTATTGCTGATTAGAAATTATATATCACTAGCTATCTAGTACCACTGTAATGGATTTACATATACCTGTTTGATCTATAACGTACACTGTTATAATAGTAAAATTCACATTTTTGCTAATAACTTTTGAACCACTAATCTAATCTTAATAAAACTTATATTATTAGAATCAGCACATCGAGACGGTTCTAATGAGCACAAGATCGCGTGATTTGGATTACAGGATCCTAAGATTATTAAAGATTTATGAATATTAATTCATGTATAACATGTGACTTAATTCTGATTAGATAATCATAACTGCGCCCAAAATCGATGATTTCTACTCCATCTACTATATCTACCATTTCTACACTTTCTATCATTTCTATCAGATCTATCATATCTATCATATATCCTAGATATACTATATCTCATATTTATATCATATCTCTCATATATATTATTTATATTATATGTATTATTTTATTACTATTTAT